AAAAATTACCAAGAAACTGAAGTATACTTCTTTATAGTAGTCTCTATAAAATAAACTGATCAAAATCAAATAATTTTTTTTTTTTTTTTGAGACTGAGTCTTGCTCTGTTGCCCAGGCTAGAATGTCCTGGTGTCAGCCTAGCTCACAGCAACCTCAAACTCCTAGGCTCAAGCAATCCTCCTGCCTCAGCCTCCCGAGTAGCTGGGACTACAAGTATGTGCCACCATGCCCAGCTAGTTTTTTCTATTTTTTTAAAGTTGCCCAGCTAATTTTTTTCTATTTTTAGTAGAGATGGGATCTTGCTTGTGGTCAGGCTGGTCTCAAACTCCTGACCTCAAGCGATCCTCCTGCCTTGGCCTCCCAGGGTGCTCAAAATCAAATAATTCAAAGTTAGGGCAATAAAGACAATTCAACAGTCTTTGAGTCCAATTGGTTATAGTCTTTTTTTAGGGGATAATGATGATTAAGGACCATATTTCACTGTCAAATGACCTGATTTAAAAAGATATCCATTTGTGTGGTTAGCCTGGTAACACAAGTCATAGTAACCTGGAGACCCACTAAAAGAAACATAAAGATTGAAAAACCCTGGAATAGCCAAGGGTTAAACAAAAATCATAGGGGGCCATTGTTTTGTACTAAACTCCTACAGTAGGCCCAACAGACCAGAATAAAAATCAAAATGGGGTCACCCGTGCTCACCAAACTGAAATGAGTTGTTTTCTGGTCTTCTGAGATATATCAAGAGAGAGAAAGATAACGACCTAATTTCCAAAATAAATAAATAAACAAATAAATACTCACACCCCTGAAAGTGTGTTTTCACTGTGCTGTCAACAAGGTACATAAAGGAGTTTTGGGAGTCCTGGGGTGGAGGACAGTGCTTATGGCGGGAGGGTTGGAGAAAGTGTCATCAAGGGGACTTTTGGGTTAGACGTTGAAAGAGGGTAGGATTTCAAAGAATCGCTTTCCTGGTGAAACTAGAGGGCGCTGCTCATGAGCTCTGAATCAAGTATGACTTTGCAACTTCATTCAGCTAGATCCAGCCCCTTGCCAGGTGCTATAAGGAACATAAGAACTCCGGCAAACGTGGGACAGCCCTCTTGCTAGATGCCCATCCCAGCAAAGAATTGTCATCATGTCATCTAATTTTTACTTTCAGACACAGATGAAGCATGTTCTTCATTCACCAGACTGAGCTTTCACAGTGCTGTGGTTGGTACGGAACTAAACGTGAAGTTGTTGCTGTACACAAGGAAAAACCTGACCTGCGCACAAACCGTCAACTCCACAGCTTTTGGGAACTTGAATGTGACCAAGAAAACCACCTTCATTGTCCATGGATTTAGGCTAACAGGCTCCCCTCCAGTTTGGATAGGGGACTTAGTAGACGGTTTGCTCTTTGTAGAAGACATGAACGTGGTTGTCGTTGATTGGAATCGAGGAGCTACAACTGTAATATACACCCACGCAGCTAGCAAGACCAAAAAAGTAGCTGTAGTCTTGAAGGAATTTATTGACCAGATGTTGGTAAGAGAATTCTCTTAGACGATTCAGGGCCAAATTGAAACTGGCCCATTATCTGAAGGTTTAAAGCCAAAAGATATCTGCAGTGAACAGGGTGACTATTTTACAAATATGAATAAGCCCCAGGGAAGGTGGGGGTAGGGACTGCATGTAAGGTATGGTTGCACAGGTTGTGCACTACACAGTGCACCCATCTAAGGGAGCATCACTGTCATCGTAGACATTGTAGATTTATATATTTATGATGATAATTTTCGAACAGATGATGACAAAGTATATTGAGGAAGGGGCATCTTTTTCTAACTCATATAAAGATGTCTTATGGGCAGGAAAGGTTCTGTCTAGGAGTTTCCTAGTTTAAACTCCTAAAAGCTTCCTCAACTTCTCTAGCTGTTCCTTCTGCTAAGAGTGCCAAAAGTTTAGTGACCAGGTTACCCAAAATCAAAACTGAGTGAGACACATGGTCTGATGAGATGATTGATGTTTTTAGAAGACTTATAAAAAGGTTAAACTTTAAATTCTATTTAGTGACCTATCTCATGAGATGCCCCTTGTAACAACAACAACAAAAGTGACATGAAATCGGGACAATTTCAGAGGGAGTCAGGCCTGGTGACCCTTGTGGCCAAGGATGACATGATTTACAGGAGCTTCCCATCTAAGCTACAGCCCCAGGAAAGTAAATATTAAACTGACTAATGACAAGCCATCCCAGCAGCCTATGGACTCTCTGTCCACACTTTCCTCCTTTCCTTCCCCCTCCATCATGATTTCGTTAACTGAGCCAGTATGAAGTTAAGGGAGTTCATCAAAATGTATTTTTGCCCCTCTCCCCAGTCTGGAAAGGTCTGGACTTGGACAGACTGGTTCGAATTCTGCTCTGCCACCTCCCCAACTGCCTGACCTGGGGCAGATGACTTCAACTCTGGGCCTCAGTTTCCTTATCTGTATGATCCAAAGAGTAGTATTTAGAGAATGAGCTGAATCTCTCTTCCATACTACAGAACTGTCTTGCAATAGTTCTTCTTGAATAAAGTCTTCCCTGCCATCCAAAAAAAAAATAGATTTACTTTGCAGGGGCATTGTGACATTTAAGTTAGATAATAGATGCTTAGAAATATTTCTCCAAAGTCAACAGCTAGGAAATTTCTCCAAATGTTGTCAATTCCTTGGCCCCTTACAATTTGTAATGATGGACCTCTTGAAATTCCAGGCAAAAGGAGCTTCTCTTGACAACATTTACATGATTGGAGTAAGTCTAGGAGCCCACATATCTGGGTTTGTTGGAGAGATGTACGACGGGCAGCTGGGGAGAATTACAGGTAAGCTCCCGTGAACGGGCACGAGGCAGTGACCTGGGCAGGGTGTTCATGAAGAATATTAATTGGGCAATCCAACTCTCTGGGTTTGAAGCCAGCTCTTCCAATTACTTAACCTCTCTGAGTGTGGATCCTCTTGTGCAAAAGGAAGACCATAATAATGTTGACCTCAGGTTATTATTTAATAAAATATAAGTAAAACACTTTGTAAATTGTATATGCCACAGGAAAGATTGGTAGGGTCTTTATTTCTCTCATGGCTAGAAAAACAGCTGTGTCCCATGAGGATTTGGTCTATGTGCCCAAAACAGACAGCCTTCTTCCTTTCATGGAATCCAGGATAGCTTGAGCTACAGACCTGATACACTTCAGTTCCCAAGCATGGCTGGAGTCTCATGGTAACAAAATGAAATGGGAATTTTGATGGCTGGGGCTTACTCACTAAATATCAGCTTTCAGGCCAACACTGAATGAAAATACTCAGAAACACTGCTGTCAAACCCCAAACAAAGACTCCCTTGCTCGGATCTCTTGCCTAGTGCTTCGCAACTTTCCACAGCTACACGTGAAGGGCTAAGGGCGGTTCTCTCTTTCAGACTCAGGGCAAATCCCATTCACCTTTCCCAGAGAGCTCATGGCTCACTAGAGCCTCAAATTCCTCAGCTCAAGTCATCTGCCCACCTTCTGAGTAGCTAGGACGACAGGTGCTCACTGCCACACCTGGCTAATTTTTAAATTTTTTTGTAGAGACAGGGTCTCGCTATGTCGCCCAGGCTTGTCTCAAACTCCTGGCCTCAAGTGATTCCTTCCTTGGCCTCTCGAAGTGCTGGGATTACAGGTGTGAGCCACCATGCCCAGTCCCTAGAGAGCTGTTTTAAATCTAGAGAATCTGAAAAGGTAAAAGTGGCTGGAGGGAGGGGAGAGGTAAATGATTCAAACCAACTACACTTGGGAGGTAAACTTTTAGGACCACAAGTCTGAATGTGCTACTTAAACTTGGCAGGTAGCTCTGTGCAAGTCATTTCTGTGTCACACCCCCATGTTGACTGGCATCTCCTCTAGCCCTGACACTTGAGGACACGTTGTTTGTCCCGGATGTTTTTTTCTCACTTTTGCCCCAAAGGCCAAGACTGCCCTCATCTTATTTACTTGTTTTCCGAGGGAAACAAAGCTCTTTTTATGTTTTAAAATTTATCATTATTATGTTTTAGAAAGCAATATGTCTTTACTTTTTAAAAATTTTATTTTCCCTCACGTATAGAAAGAACAGATGGCTTGAATTTAACTGTATCCCTTATCTGTTGGGAGTCCCTCTTCTAGTGGGTGGGACTTTTCCCAGTGGAATACTTGAAAGTTGACCAGCTCTTAAACAAGAAGGAATAAGAAGGAGAAGGAAGAGGAGGAGAAGGAGACGAAGCAGCAACAGATTTTGCTAATTTTCGTGGTGTAAATATTCCTATTATGGCTGATTTCCAGCTACCAACCTGACATCATTGACCACAGAGTCTGGGAAGACAGGAGCAAAATCTGCCCTCTAACGCTGGCACTGCTTTATTCTATCTGTTAATATGCCCCGATGTCACCCCTTAGCCTCTCAACAAACTTGTTCCCACAAGTACTTTGTTTTTTTAAGAGATGGGCTGGGGCTCAAGCAATTCTCCCATCCCAGCCTCCTGAGTAACTGGGTCTGCGGGTGTGAGGCACCATGCCCAGCTCCCTCGGATACTTTGAATGTGAATTGCAATGTATTCTGGTCTCTGACTATGGAAATACCCCAGGCCAGATTTCTTTCCTCTCTGGGCCCATGTGGCCCTGTTCCATGGCTTGGACTCAACCAATGATCCACAGCTCAATTTTCTGTCTCTGCTGACTTCCTCATGTTCTCCAGATTTCTTATCATCTCTGAGCCCCAAGGTCAATCTCAGCTGTCCCCAAGAGCAGCTTCAGGAGGAAAACATTTCCCCTCCTCTTGGCATGCATGGGTGGGCTCCCTGGATTGTTGGATGGGAATGTGGCCCGTCACCCATGCAATAGTTATAGTCATTGCTGCTCACTTCAGCTTCTCTGGTGAAGACGATCTCGTGACCTCTGTTCCGTGGAGCCATCTCCTGTGGTTTAAGACACTAGAAACAAAGAACATTCAATCAGAAGCGCAGCCTTCTGATTACTGGCCTTGGGCAGGGATACAGGTTTTAATGCCCAGAAAGAGTGTGGTGGGGGGAGTTTAAAGAGACAGACTGCAAAACATTTTGCTCTTTTTCAGGCCTTTACCTGTTACACAGCCACCACTCTCAGCTAATTTTTTGTGAAGACGGGGATCTCCCAGGCTGGTCTTGAACTCCTAGCCTCTAAACTGTGCCTCCCAAAGTATTGGGATTACAGGTGTGAGCCACAGTGCCCCACCCCTGGTTTAGATGTTTTATCTGCATGGATCTGGAGGTTGCTATAAACTCGGGCTCTCACTGTTAATTTTATTTTTTTTATTTTTTTTGAGACAGAGTCTCACTCTTTTGCCCGGGCTAGAGTGAGTGCGGTGGCGTCATCCTAGCTCACAGCAACCTCAAACTCCTGGGCTCGAGCAATCCTGTCTCCGCCTCCCGAGTAGCTGGGACTACAGGCATGCGCCACCATGCCCGGCTAATTTTTTCTATATATTTTTAGTTGTCCAATTAATTTCTTTCTATTTTTGGTAGAGACGGGGTCTCGCTCTTGCTCAGGCTGGTTTCGAACTCCTGAGCTCAAACAATCCGCCCGCCTCAGCCTCCCAGAGAGCTAGGATTACAGGCGTGAGCCACCGTGCCCGGCCTGTTAATTTTCTTAGGCAGGAAGCGGTGCTGTCTCGTGTGAGGAGGGAGAGGCCTCCCCAGCAAGGTGATAAGTTTTTCAAGTTGTGTTGAGAAAGTCCTGTGGACTCATTGCCTGGATGTTGATCATTTCCTCCCAGGTTAGTATCAGCTGGGAGTAGAAAGGCTGGCAGAACAAAAGAGGAAGAGATAAGAAAGGAGGCTGGTAAAGAAATGCCTCAAGGAAGCAAAAGAGCTTGGCAGAGGAGCAAAGGGGAGATTGTAGCTAGAACCAGGGAAGTTGAGGCAAAAATGCTATCTCTTGGATTTTATATGTAACACCAGAGGATGAGAGATGTCATTTAAAATGACATTCATAGATTAAAAACTTCAAGGGAGATATCCCTTGAAACCTTCACTCCAGGTAGGGCGCTAGGGCTCTAGTAAGCAGATCCTTTTTGAGCCTCTGGCCTTTTTTTTTTTTTTTAAGTTCTAATCGTGTGTGTGTGTGTGTGTGTGTGTGTGTGTGTGTGTGTGTGTGTGTGGTTACCTCGTAAGAGCTCCTCCTGTTTTTCCAGCTCTTTCATAGCGAGGAACGCCCAACTAACATTGACCAGGGTGAAGAAATCAGTTCAGGCATTTATGATGTGGGATAATTCTGCAAGGATTGACACCCACTTTATTTTCATCTTCCATACCTGGCCTGATACCTGGCTTGACCAGTAAGTTTCGCCCTTTCCAGCTGAGCTTGCTAAACTCTGCAGTGAAACCCAGAGCTCAACAGATAGAGGTAGTTGCGTCACAGGCTATGTTCTGGTCAAGATACTTAATCTCCCTGAACTTCTCAGTCCATTCATCTGTAAAATGGGAATAATAATACCTACCCTGCCTCCCTCACAGGTTTGCAATGTGGATCAAATGAGCTAGAATATATGAATAAAAGTGGACGCTGTAAAGGAATTTTATTAATAACAAGAAGGGTGGGCTGTTTCTGGATCATCTAAAATAGGATAAAGATGAGTACAGTATATGCTTTTTTCACTTTAAAAATTTTTTTTAGAAATGGGGTCGCATTCTGTCCCCAGGCTGGAGTGCAGTGGTGTGATCATAGCTCACTGTAGCCTTGAACTCCTGGGATCAAGCGATCCTCCTGCCTTAGCCTTCCAAGTAACGGGAACTACAGCTCTGCACCACCATGCCCAGCTAATTTTTCTTATTTTTTGTAAAAACTGGGGTGGGGGGGTGGTTGGGTGTCTTGCCCAGGCTGGTCTTGATCTCCTGGCCTCAAGCTATTCTCCTACCTTGGCCTCCCAAATTACTGGGACTATAGGTGTGAACCACCTGGTCTGGCCTTTTCTCTCTTTTATGCACCCTTTGGTGCTTTTTTTCCTGATGAACCAGTTTAACCCCACACTCGCTCTGATCCCCGTGTGTGCATTCCCTGCTGTTGAGCTCTGCAGGAGGTTTGCCTCCTGATGGAGTCTGGGTGCAGCCCTCCGGCACTGCCAGGGTAACCATCTCACTGTGGGAACAAGCTGCAGGGCTGAGGAAAGGAGTTCTGACAAAGCAGGATGGGAATGTGCATGCTCGCCCACCCGAGGGTGCCCTGCAGCCTATGAGCCATCCTCATCCGAGGGATCAAAGCCCTGGCTGCAGGTGACTCATGGCGTGGGGCTGCCAAGTAACTCTGTTTTCCTTCCAGGTCTCGACCCTGCGGGCCCTTTATTCACCGGCAGTCCTCCCCAGGATAGATTGGATCCCAGTGATGCCCAGTTCGTTGACGTCATCCATTCCGACATTGATGGTAACATTCCTGTCCTTGCGGGCCAGTGCCCACCCCCCCAGACTCCCAAAACATCTTCCTCACCACGTCCCCTCCCCTCTGCCCCTCTGCCCTGGGGAGATCATCATGTAGGGGCAGATCAGGTTCCTCTAGGTTCCCACTTTCCCTACCAGGCAGGTTCCAAAATCCACAGAAATATTGAAGGGAAGCTGGTTTAATACGGGCACCAAGGAACTTGTGCTGGAGTGGGGATGATTTTCCCATGATCTCCTTTTTTTTTTTTTTTTTTCTGAGCAATCATTGTGCCCTGAAGGACAGGTCGATTTGCACAATATGTGGACAAAGTTTTCCTATGTGCAGCTGGGTTTGGATGCATGGTTTGCATGATTTCCTAGTTTTGTTGGTTCTTTCTCATTATTTCCTCAAGCTGAAAGACACATTTACGTGTTGTGTCTCTCCACACAGGCCGAATCTGACCCACCTGCAGCTCTCTAGCTCTCTCTAGATCTTCCTGGCCATCTCTGACTTTCACGATGCTAGTTTCATTTCAAGGATGGGTGCGTGTATCCGGATGTCTAGGAGAACAGCTGGAGTAGAAACTTGGGGAAGATTGCGGGAGTAGGGCAGAGTGGTCATTTGATTGTACATCCTCTTTGTGATACAACCACCTAACACACCCTTGACCGCCTACCATGGCACTCTGGTGTGGGATTCAGGAATTGTTTGCCTTAAGAAGAAATGTCTCTTTGTGAAACAGCTGCATTACTGTGGAGTTTGCGAAGTATCACCTTACATAAGTGCGGTACCTCAATGCTGCGTTAACGCTTGGTGGAATAGAGCAATTTATTTTTTTATTTTTGGAAAGCGAATTTTGAAGGAAAGAGCAGAAGCTTTGAAGTCAGGCGGATGTGAATTTAAATCCCAGGTTGTGCTCTTTCACCTGATATCATGTTAGTTCCTTAAGTCCTCTGAGCCTCTGTATCTTTATCTAAGTTACTTCATCTGAATTTACCAATAGGTACTTTGCAGAGATTGTGAAAATTAGAAGAAAAGTATGTAGAACACCTACCACTATGTCCACAAACACGTGTAGGTTCTCAATATATAAATATTATTACCATGATGAACTCTATATACATATTCATATGCACATGTACATATATAATCTTTTAATCAAGCATTTTACTGATTATTTGGGGGATTACATAAAGAAAATAAGCAATTATTAAGGCTATGTATAAATTTTTCGGTCCCCATTTTCTAGAAGTGTTTCCTATTTATTTACCATCCTGGATCCCAAATATTTAAAGATTTTACCTACTAAGTAAAAATTCATGGTTTGCTATTTCTTAATCATTCAAGATTTACACAAATGCAAATAGATGCTCAGGAAGGACCTGGCATTCCAGCCAAATGTAAGAAGAAATGTATCGTTTTATCAGTGTTGCAGTAAGTTATATCTTTAGAAATATTAGAAGTAAATTCCATTACCATCTTTGCAGTCACTATGTTGGAAATTGTTGCTTTCTAACTAACTAGCTGGGTAACTAACTTTGGGCAAAACATTTAAATAGGTATAACGATAATGCTAATAACAACAACAATAATAAAATAATACTATAATTCCTGCCTATATCCTGCAAGCAAATGAGCTATGAGATATGAAAAATTCAAAGCAGTATAAAAGCATAGTGTGTTCTCTTTTAGCACTGGGCTACAGAGAACCATTAGGAAACATAGACTTCTACCCAAATGGAGGATCAGATCAACCTGGTTGCCCCAAAACAATATTTGGAGGTAAGTGCAGATACTTTGTATTTTGTGAAACAGTGGTTTGAAAAAGTTATATTTTTAAAATCTGATATTATTCTACATGAAGTAGTTTTCCATAGAAAATAAATTTCTTGAGAAGATAGAGGTGGTATAAATATAAATTATACATTAAAATTAAAACTCAAATTTGCTGTTTTTAAAAACTATAACCATATGATTAAAAGCTATTACAAATTATTTTTATGTCTTGAAAAGGTATGTCTCTGACCTAGAAATTCCATATCTGGAAATCTCTCCTAGAGAAATGATGGAAAATATAGACAAGCATTAGAGTGTAAAGATAGTTAAAGTTTTAGAACTAGTCAAAGGCCAGGCACAGTGGCTCACACCTGTAATCCCAGCGCTTTGGGAGGCCAAGGCAAGAGAATCACTTGAGCCCAGGAATTTGAGGTTGAAGTGAACTATGATGACACCACTCCACTCTAGCCTGGGTGACAGAGCAAGATCCTGTCTCAAAAACAAAAACAAAAAAAGTGAAGTAGGGAGACAGAATATAAAAACCCACCCCTAAGTGTTATAAATCTATATGTATATATATATTTTTTTATTTATTTCAGCAAATTATGGGTGTACAGATGTTTAGGTTACGTGTGTTGCCCATGGTTCCCCCCCCACCGAAGTCCTTGTTTCAAATATGTCCATCCTTCGGGTAGTGCGCATTGCCCTCCTTGTGTATACAAATACCCCTCCCCTTATAAATCTATATTTTATCATTCCTAAAGTAAAAGAACCATGGAAATAATTCTAGGACAAAAGATGATCTTGTTACAAAATGGCAGCTGTGTTTGGGCCCATCGGAATGACATAGTGTTTGAAAATTATCTGGCTGAAATAACATAAATAGGTCCAACCACGTTGTATAATACCATAGTGAGTGATCAAATCCCACCCTGATGGTGTAACTACATCCAAAGCAGCCAAAGATAATGTGCTTTGCTTATAAAAGACATCCGCTGTATTCTTATTAACCTTGTTTCTGCAAAAGGAAATTCCGGGAACAGTCAGTTAACGTTCACCTGCCAGGTTTTACTCCGGTCCAACTTGGCCCCATGCCAGCCCCACTCGTCTCCCTTCTTGCCCCTTTGTTTCTCTTTGTCCTTCACTGTTCTCTCCTAGGGGCACAAGTGGACTCTGGAGGAAAAGGAAAGATCCAGCTCCCAGCATCTCTCCAAACCACTGGCTCACAATCACAGCTCCTGTTCTCATGGGGTTTACTGTTTGCTGTTTGGATCCTCATCTCCACTGATTACCCATCTTTTGGACCTAGTTCCCTTTTTTGAATGACATCAGCTTCTGACCCTGCAACCTTCTGACAGCCTCTGTGCTGCAGTTCATCATCTCCAGCTCTTCCGACACCCATCCCCTCGCGTCCCCAGCTTCCTGTCTCACCATCACACCACATGGCCCCACTAAGAACTTGAGGTCCACCTCCCACCTCCATTCATTACTCCTAGTGCCACCTCCTATCATTCAGCCCCTCACTTCACCCTTGTAACAGAAATGGAGTCCCTGCCACCTGGCTATCATGAATGCCCTGTCCTTGCTCAGACCTTTAGGCCTCGGCCATGTCAGTTCCACTTTTGCTTAGGAACGTTGCTGGAGAAGTCATGAAGCCTTGTTGGTTGAGTATTTGATTGAGTATAAGGTCCAGGTAAACTTGCTAACTTCTCCCTGGCTCTCAGTCATGCCGTAGAATCCCGTCTTGTTCCTCTCTTGCTGACTTGCTATGATCATTCCTCATGCTTCTCTCCCAAATATCTCCTACTTACAAACTCTCACCTCTAAGAGGTGAGCTAGATTTGACTTTAGTGCCTAGATCAAGGTCCCACGTAAGAGGGCGATTTCATCTATCCTCATCTTAGTTCCCAAGAATGTAAAGACCATGTTCATGTTCTCTCCTTTAGAGCATCCCCACCCTTTTTCAAAGGTGTCTCCTCTGTGTGCCTTCCTCTTGGGATCTTCCTCTACCAGTTACTCCCCAGCGCCTTCTTTCCCCGATGCCTTTACTCGTTCCTTCTTCCATGGCTCATTGCCTCTGCCTTTTGCAGAAAACCTCTATTCCTAGAGGTGAGCATCTCTAATGCTCATTGAATTTTTCTCCTTCTTTCCACTGACAAACACATCTAATGAGGGTCTTCATTGCTGCTTCCATCTCCTCACTGGCAGGAATGATATGTGCACGAGGGTTCTTCGTATTATTCTCTCAATTTTTATGCCTGTTTGAAAATTCTCATTATAAATATGGCAGATTAGTGAGAGAGGTATATGATTGAAGCTGGTTGTTTGAGTTCCTTTCAATCTCCCCCTACGTAACATATCATTTAAAAAAGCATAATAAAAAGAAATTAATTAATGATTAACTAATGATTTACTCTTTTTTTTTTTTCCTCACTGACTCACTGACTTACTGACTGACTGACTCTCTCTCCTATGATTTGCTCTTGTGATAACAATTTTGGTAATCCCTCCTGATTCTCCATGATCCAGGGAAGGTTGGCCATCAGTGCCAGTAGCTGCCAGCCTGACAAGTGGACACAGACACAATCTGGGAAGTGGCCCTGCAAAATTAGGCCAGAGGCTTTCAAACTTTTATATGATTCAGGATCACATGGGAAATATGTGATTGATAAATGAGCAATCAAGGTCTTAAATTAAAGCATATTTGCTTTAATTCTTGCCACAACCTTAATTTGATTTAATTTTTTCTCCTGCCACTTTCCGGCATGAATCCTTACCTATGGGTGTTTATAGAGATTAAGTGGAATGAGGTACACAGAAGCTGTTAGCACAGTGCCAGATGATAAATTGTGTGCGTATAAAATATGGGATGTACTATTATTAAATACTTCAACTAATCTAATCATTTCTCTTACAACCAAGGATTCCAGTATTTTAAATGTGACCACCAGAGGTCTGTGTACCTGTACCTGTCTTCCTTGACAGAGGACTGCACTATCACTGCTTATCCCTGTGACTCCTACCGGGATTATAGGAGCGGCAAGTGTGTCAGTTGCCTCACACCACAAAAGGAGTCCTGTCCCCTCCTGGGTAAGTCCAATGAGCAGTTTCCTCTCTGATTAAAAAAGAGCTAGCTTTTGGTATGAACCCCAGAATCATTTTACTATCTAAAAATAGGCCCCAAATATTATATTAAAAAAAAATTTATAGTCAGCTTTTTCTAGTCAATTTGTTCTTTGAGCTACTCTAGTCTCCTAATAATAGACAGCATTAGAAAAGGAATCTGGCCAGGCATGGTGGCTCACGCTTGTATTCCCAGCACTCTGGGAGGCCGAGGTGGGAGGATCACTCGAGGTCAGGAGTTCAAGACCAGCCTGATCAAGAGTGAGACCCCTCTCTACTAAATATAGAAAAAATTAGCCGGGCATGGTGGCGCATGCCTGTAGTCCCAGCTGCTCAGGAGGCTGAGGCAGTAGGATTACTTGAGCCCAGGAGTTTGAGGTTGCTGTGAGCTAGGCTAACGCCATGGCACTCTAGCCCAGGCAACAGAGCGAGACGCTGTCTCCAAAAAAAAAAAGAAAAGGAATTTGTATATTTGGGTTCATCTAGAAAATAGTACAACCTCCCTGGACACTCTATTCTAGCCTGGAAAAGAAAGTTCCAGAAGAGTTTCCAAGCCCAACCAGGGTATAGTCACTTGACATAGCCTGCTCCTGTGGGGACAGGAATACCCTCTCTGTGCACATAAACTGTCTTCTGGGAGAAGGTCCACAATGAGCCCAGAGACCCTCCTGCCAAATGAGCCTTGCAGAGTAACCCCTTCCAGAGAGCTGTGACTGTAAATGCCCTCACAACACACTCTGGCTCTTGTGTGCGTGTACAGGGGGTGGGATTGATACTGTGGAGGCTGCTTAGGTGTTTCTAAGGGTGAGTACAAATATTCTAGGTGGTTAGGGCTTTGAAATTGGATGACCACGAGAATTTTCTGATTTTTTCCAAAGGGAAAAACCCAAGTTAACAGCAGAGCATGCTATAGACAAGGGGTTCTCAACTTTGTGCACTAGAATTACCTAGGGAGTTTTTAAACATACTGATGCCTTAAAGAAAAGACAAATATTTAAGGTGATGGATATTCCAAGTGTACTGATTTCATCTTTATAAATTTTACGAATGTATTAAATTATCACATGTACCCTGAAACCACGTACTTCTATTGTGCATCAATTAAAAAAATACTGATCCCTCGGTCCCACCCCAGATCAATTAAGTCAGAATCTGGAGGCCACTCTCTAGGTGTTGGGACAGAGGAGAGAGAGAGGCCCCTCTGGATAGCACTTAACCTTGTTTCCTGTAGGCACAGATGTGAAGGAGGACACTTACCTGCTTGGTGACATAGTCACATGGCAAGGTTCTATGCAATTTAGGGCAAGGTTCTGTGAAATTTAGGGCCCCCCCTTGTAGTTCTTTAGGAAAGCATATTGCTTTGCAAGAGTGATGCTACTTTAGGAATGAACCTGAATCTGTTTTAATCTAGAAAATGAATGTATTACTGAAAAATGTCAATGCTATTTTTAGTCCACGCCAATGTGTGCCACTCCCCACTCCCCTGCCTTGTTACTGAGAACCAGTAAGGGGGGTGGGGAGGAAACCACTGTAGGGTCCTTTTGCACTCCAGCTCTTAGGGATAGGGTCAGCCAGCAAGATGGATGGCCCTGCGGGTCCTCTCCATGGGGAGTGGGAGGGTGGGAGGGAGGTTGTCTCAGTGGTGGTGGTTGTAGTCAACCTCACTGTTCTTGCTACCTCAGTTGCTTTTACATTTATATAATACATGTTAACATTATACTTTTCTAACTTGTTTTATAGGCTATTATGCTGATCATTGGAAAGACTATTTAAAGGAGAAAGATCCCCCAATGACTAAGGCATTCTTTGACACAGCTGAGGAGAAGCCATTCTGCAGTGAGTGATGAATGTGGTTGTTTGTTTTAACCCAACCTGGGGATGCCTGATTCTTAGCTTCCTGGCTACTTCTTGGCAAATGAAAGCCATGGTGAAGCATGGACTTTGGAGCTGGAAGGACCTAGGCCAAATTCTGATTCTATCACATAATACCTGTGTGACTTTGGTCAAGTCATTTAACCTCTCTGAATCTCAGTGTCCTGATTGGTAAAATGGAGATAATAATGCCTCTATCTTCTAGGATATTAAAATTAAAATCTCAATAAATCAGAGTTGTTAGCTTCACTGGATTCTCATCACTAAGATCTTCTAGAATTGCTTGATTTCCCAAGAGACATGAAATTGGGGCTAGGAAAAATCAGATGTCAGCCACATCTATGGGTCAGTTCCAGCTCTAAAGCAACCACGATGACGTAAAGGGCATCAAGAGGTTGAGTATTCCAGATGGGAGCTGAATGGGGCACCAGATAATTTGATGCCTTGGGAAGCAACTGGGATTCGCCTGGGCAGATGCATGTCTTTCTTGTAATCTTACACCCATTTTCATTTTTCTTGGGAACAACTCTTCTAAAAGAGGCTGCAGATCACTGTGTTTCACTCTTCCTTTGGAGCCGTGGATTTGGCATCTGCCTGGTCTGCAAGTCCCTGAGCAATAATGGGCCATGAAATGGCACCTCCAGGACTGACCTTCTTCCTTCATGGGATCATCATCTCCCTGAGCCTCTTTTCCTTTCTCTGGAAGTTTTTTCAAGAATCAGTGAATCTAACCATCATGAAGGGATGGATCCCATCTTCCTGAAACATACTTGACCTTGGGAAGCAAAGAGTAGGGAGGAAGATTGAACTAGGAATAGTCAGCATTAGGCCAGGAGACTTCAGTCAATAGGTGGGAACACTGATTCAACTGTGAGGCCTGAACATGGCGACTGGATAGCACCGAACCCTGCTGTCACTCATGCAATCTTTATGAAAGAGAAGAGAAAAAAGTTAGAAAATTCTGCCCTGGATCTTTGTAGAGAAACTAGAGAGAAAGGGAAAAAGAGACTCGGTTAAAGGGAGGTTGGGTTTTTAGGAACTGGCCCGTCAAGGAAGCAATTGGGAGTACCTCTCTCTTACCATGTTCTTTTCCTGTTTTGCAGTGTATCATTACTTTGTGGATATTCTAACTTGGAACAAGAACATAAGAAGAGGGGACATTACAATCAAATTGAGAGACAAAGCTGGAAACACCACAGAATCCAAAATCAATCAGTAAGTTGAGTTGCAATAGTTTACAATTTGCTGATCCTCTTTTTGCTCAGAGAAATGAATCCTAAGTATTCCTACTTTCTTATTCATAGATCTGTACTTTTCCTTGCTCCTCAAAAAAAAGATATAAGGAGACATACTGCTTAGTTGCTTGCCCTGGCTTTTGATCTCCCAGGCTCTTTACAAATGGAATTGGTGTAAGGGTTTTCTTTCCCTCTCTTCTTTCCTCCCTCCCTTTCTTCCACCATTTCTCTCTCTTTCCCTCCCTTTCTCCCTTCCCTTCCTTCCTCTCCTCCTCACTTCCTTTGACTAAACATTTAATACAAAAGTTATCCCTGCTTGCTGTAAAGGACTTACACAATGAAGGAATATGCTAATTTAATCACTCCACATTTTATACATATATCGAATATCACATTGTACCCCATAAATGTATACAATTATGATTTGTCAATCAAAGATCATATTAATAAAAAACAATAAAGGAATATGCAACATAAAAGTAGAAGTCCGTGCCCCATCCCATCAACAATCCCACCCTGAAAGGCAAAGAGCATCCATCCACATTCTTTTTTTTTTTTTTTTCCCCAAGAGTGTTACTCTGTAGCCCATGCTACAGTGCAGTGGCATGATCATGGCTCACAGCAACCTCAAATTCCTGGGCTCAAGCAATCCTCCTTCTTCAGCCTCCTGAGTAACTGGGACTACAGGCATGTGCCACAATGCCCCACTAATTCTTTCTATTTTTAGTAGAGACCGGGTCTTGGTTTTGCTCAGGCTGGTCTCCTCTGAGACTCCTGAGCTCAAGCAATACTCCTGCCTCGGCCTCCCACAGTGCTAGGATTACAGGTGTGAGCCACTGTGCCTGGCCAACCCATTCTTTTTTTTTTTTGAGACACAGTCTCACTCTGTTGCCCAAGCTAGAGTGCCGTGGCATCAGCCTAGCTCACAGCAACCTCAAACTCCTGGGCTCAAGCGATCCTCCTGCCTCAGCCTCCCGAGTAGCTGGGA